CTTTAACTCTCACTAGCCATTATCTTTAAATAATTGTGTTGTTTTATGTTGCGAACACAGCGTTTTTTTTTCGCTTTGCCTTTACAATATTTATTTTGATCGATTATACTTGTCTTATATTTAAACTGATAGTTTGACGTCTTGACCTTATTTTAGAGTGAGGGTCATTTATGCTCTTAAATACACTCAATCTATTACAAACTCTGTTTGGGGGTCACCAATTGGAACTAAGCTAGGTATGGCATTGATTTGATCTCGTTTTCAAAATTTGCTCGGAGCCAAAGACGATCTTGCCAAGCCTTCCTAGTTCTGCGTCCCCGGTCATAGTATTTATGATAATTTCCAATATCGAACCGTTGCCATGGTACATTCCCAGACGTTTCACCGGCATTTAGTTGGCATCGTCGATGAGAGGTGTCAATTTTAGCTAAAACTCGTCAAAGTGGCAAGTGACAAATTTTCTGTTCGACCCTTGTGGCATCTCCCATTCCCCTTGCTCTAGCTTCTAGCGCCGTACCCCTTTTCCTCACCCCCCCTTCATATGATATATTAACCCATATTCTCCCCCATATCGCTCCCATATGATCAAATACTAACAAAGCTCGCTTTTTATCATTGGTTTACTCAATGGTGTCCATTAAGTTGCCGATAACATGACGGAGAAACAATCATATGCCGTCATGACATTCAAATGTGAGGAGGTAGGACGCAGCTTGAGAAAGGTCCTTTTAATTTTGCACGAGTATGAAGAAGTTTTGGAAACAAGGCCATGCTAGCCTAAAAAAAGTTGGCTCCTAAGGTGTACTCGATTTTACGTCTATTATGTTAGACATGTAAAATTTTTGAAAACATGTTCTCATTTCCTGAAACAGGAGTTTCGATAAATTGTTTATTAGAATTGAAGCAAGTAGATCTTCATCGGTTCAGGTGCTTCTCACATAATACTTATTAAAGAGACAGCACATTTCTAAGATTATTTTGTGTCCTTATTATGTATGCCTGATGGTAGGCGCAGAGACAGAATCTAATTATTGGGTTTGCGCTTCATAAGCATTCAAGCATATTAGCCTTTAAAATGGATCACCAAGAGGGCCATTACTTTCCAAAATAATCTAAGTTATTTTACTATTTTGGTTAAATGGCATTAAAAGTTTTAGCATCTAATACACCAATGCCTTAGTGGGTTGTATAGACGAACAATTAGCCATTAGAAAGCTAACTCATTACCTGTCAGCGCATTATAATTATTATCAGATGTTCGTTACTTGCTTGACTTCTTTTTAGGCCGAAAAATATATGAAAAAGCAAGTATTGATGCCAAACTGTTGAATTTATAAGGACTGAATTCACCCTCTTTCGTTTAGGGTGATGAACGACTGGCAGTTGAATTTTTCCACAATGATATGAGTAGGTCTCATGTGGCCATTAAATTTCATGTAGCTTTGCTTTCCAAAAGGCTATTCTTATCCAGGGCGGACTACAGTTACGACCTCGCCTAGGTCTCATCAACATTCCTAGCAGAAATGGAACCCAAGTATTCTATCTTCGAGTCTCGACACTTTAATCAGTAAGCCGCATGACCCCGAGTGAAGTTTTGTCCACTTTTTGCTGAATTTTGGCTGTTGGCCAATAGGTAAAGTTTATGAGCACAATAAAGATTAGGAATTGGTATATGAAGGCCTGCGCTAATTTTATTTAAACTCTTCATTTCATGAACAAAGGGGCTAATTTTGGAGTATTTCGAAACAGGAGTATACATTAGAGAATAAATATTGACTAATTATAACTGTTTTCAATGACTTATCTACTTGACTAGATGTATCCATATTATTTATTTTAACAATAAGAGAATGTCTAATTATAGCCATTTATGAGCTAGATTCAGTGTTAATGCCGAGTTAGGTTATCATTCCAGAATTCATCCTAATTCTTTGCGCTTTTTCTGAATTTGTGCATGTGTGCACCCTTGCGCTTTTGTGTGTCTTGTATACTTTTGTGTGTTTGCCTTTGACTGCACTTCTATTCTTGACAGGTTAAGCACATTGATGACGTCTTCCAAGGACCACAGGAGTTCATCGCTACCGGACTGGAGCGTCTTCGACCCATTCAGTCTATGCAGTCTATATATTCCCATACGTATCCACAGAAGGTAGTCGGCTTTGGGGAGTCAAATGGTCAACCCTCTGATATACTGGCTCTTGGATCTATAGTCAGACCAGCCAAAGGCAACTTGGCCCGAGCCAGAGCTCTGGCTGTAGCTCCAAAGCTAGCGCCTCTGTGGAGTCCG